ATAGATCCAGGTCTGAAATCTGACTGGCTGCGCTAGGTTCAAACCACATATAATTCTTTAGTTCTTTAAATTATTAAACACCTGCTGGTAACAAACTGAGGGACTGTACTGGGACGTTACCAAACGTCCTGTGGATGTATTTTTGGGAACGTTTCTGCAGGACCGCAATAGGACCTGTTGCGAACGTCCATAATGGCCTAGGAACGTTCTACAGCGAACGTCATAAAAATTCCCAAATGAGGGCGTCTGGGAACGTCCGGGGGACGTCCGCTGTTTGCTGGGAGATTGTTGAATATGTAAGAGTTTTACTTTTCAGCTCCGTCTGGATTTAAAACACAGCGCGGGTCATTCAGCAGAGGAGAGCTGAGCGGAGCAGATCAGAGGAGAATCGAGTGCCGGTCAGGAGTTTTAGACCAATCAGATCCGGCGGGAGTGTTTACCTGGCCGCGCTCTGCAGCGCGCGCTCTCTCCGGCGCTCGGGGGGTCTGTTTAAACCGAACGCGACCGTTACGAGCTGCTCACAGCGACTCGCTCACAGCATCAACACCAGCTGATTTACCGGTTTACTCACCGATAAAACCTCCTCCAAACGGCGCTCACAGTCTGTATGGAGCCGCTCGGGACCGGGGGCCTTTTTCAGCTCAGAACAGAACAGAAACGAGGATTGTTCAGCAGCGCTGGATCAAGTGGAGCTACAGCCCGGACTAACAGACTTCAGTGGGCAGAATCCGCTTTAAAAGGAGAGCAGTGCTGAAATTAAACCGCACTAACAGGTATTAGACCCTGTTTCTGTTTCTCTGGGGATCCTGTCTCTGATGCTCGGTAAGGGGATAATGTCCACATTGGTCATGCTCAGGAGGCCAAAAGGCCTTTCTCAGATCTTCACCATCAACCAGTGTTGATCCTGTGGTGATGATGTCATCACTAGTGACAAAACCTGGTTATACAACAACTTAAGAATTAAAAGAGCACAAACGTTTCTTTTAACGGCACAAACAGCAAAAATGAGTGAGACCCTTTTGGTGTGATTTGGTCACTGATGGGGGGCTGAGTGACGTCACAGTCCAACCTTTATAGCTTCATAACTGGAGAATTAAAACAGCTGGAATGTTTCTTTTAAAGGCACAAACAGCAAAAAACCAATAGCAGCATTTTTATTCCATCTCAGACCAATGGGGTGGCTTCACGGAGGGACCACTCAGAGCAGCGCGCTGTAAACCCTGACTGACTGCTCAGTTTAGATTTCTTATATGACAAATTCTGGAAATCTGAACCGGCCCACAATTCCTATGGGGGTTTTCAGTGTGTACTTTTTTTTTTCATGAAGCAAATGAACCTATTTTATACGTCCAGCTGGACCCAATGTCCTCATTATCATTACGGTCTTGGTTCCAGGAAGTCGTTGTTTGCAGCCATATTGAGTGATCATTGTTTTTTATTTCAGCAGCTCAGAGTAGTTTTTGTGGTGAACATCACTTTAACCCACTGTTTATATTCGTTTATATTCCCTACACAATAAGGGCCAAATTAACTAAGAGAAGCGCTAATTACTCACAGTCTACTGATGCTTTCTGGCGGTTTGGGACGCAGCCAAAATATTTTTAACCTTTTATGATTCTGGGTCTCACTGTAACATTAAATAAGGTTAAAATAATGAATGATTTCCTAAAGATTTTAACTTAGAAATGATAATTATTAACTAAACAGAGCTCCAGATAAAAAGTAGCTTAAGGAGCCATTTAAAAGAAAAAAAAATCAGGCAGCAGTAGCTTTTTTAAGTGCAAAATAATAATAATATGCAGGAAAAAAAGCTTTTCAACGCACCTCAGGTCAGCTCTGTGATTTAAAGGGGAACCGATTTTTCATAATTCCTACAAAATGAAATGGTTAACATGCCAACAACATCATGCAGAGCGGTTTGGTATGAAACGCCTGGTTCTAGAGAGACTTACAGAGTCAGAATTGTTCACAGTGATGATGATAGGAACCAGACGAAAGCCTATCAGTTACGTTTTAAGATGAAAAATGATAAAAGACAAAAAGTAATAAATACAGAACAATAGAAATAGTTACCCATAAAGATAATAATAATCCATAAGTCGCCCCTGGTGAGTTAATTAATTTAATATAACTTATTTATTAATTAACTTTATTACTCACAGATTAATAATTGTCGTCGCAGTCTGGAGCCCTGAACTGAAGACCAAATTATTACTGTAATAGTTTAGATTTCCTGTTTTGAAACAGGTTTGTTTTCAGCTGGTGGTTTGAGCTGAACGTCTGTGTGATTTTGTAAAATTCCTCTTTAATTTCACTGAGAGGTTCCTGTTCTACTGGGAACCGTAAGGTTTGATCTTGTGGTGAGTTTGTCCTCTTAGCTCTGCACCTCAAACATGACTGTGATGTTCCTGTAACAGAAGACACAATGTGAGCAGAGTAACGAGCAGCTTCAGTAAATCAGGGGAAGAAAACAGTCAAATCATTATTTAGACCAAACTGAGTCTTTGATTAGAGTAAAATGTACCACAGAATTGGGTTTTAGTACCAGTTTAAAACACTGTTTTACTGAAACCAGCTGGTTCAGTTTTTCCTTCATCAGACATTTAGATCATGTATAAAATGCAGATAGTAGATCAGTGTGTAGTTTAACATCACTAATCAGTGTGCAGAGCTAAACTGGTCAGTGAGGTCAGGTAGGAGGGCTGGTTTACAGTTTGAACAGCATGTTTCTAAAATCTGATTGGATGGTGTTGAACACAGCAGTTAAGTTTTACACAGAGGTGAATTATTTCAGAGGTTTTCTGTATAAACTCTATTGTACTGTGTTATAATGTACTCTCTTAAAATCAGGACCAGATGATCAAAGCAGATAAAAGGACAGAAGGAGTCATTGATATCAGATTAATAGTATTAATGATTGAAACATTTCTTTTGCTAATTTAAAGGCTTTAGTTCTATATTTCTGTCAGAGAGGAATCAGAAGATCTTCATATAATTTTACTACCAAAACTGACCAACAGTAATTTGTACTAAAGGAGGTAAAGACTAATTGAGGCCTGGTCATGAAGAGGACTCTTTTTTTGGTTTTGTTAATGACCTGGTCTCACTTTCATTTGGACTCCTTTAGACTCGCTCTTGACTTGGCCTCGACTAGTTATGGTCTTGAATTCTACAAAGGCTTGACTGCAGTCCTACCTGTGAGCTTCTATACCATTCGTCTCTCTTTAGTAAGTAGTAAATAAGTAAATAATAGTAAATAAGTAGGTACCTTAGATATCAGTTGACTTTTGCTGCTTTCTGAATGGGACAGCTTTTGTTTAGGAAGCGCATGAACGCTGCCTACTTAGACAGGAAACGTCTGCTTTGTGTGGTGACTGACAAGCAGTGTTTAACTGTGGAAACAACACTGCAGTGCACAGCCTTACTGCAGTTACAAAATAGGATATGTTGAATTACACCAACGTTCAACAGATGAATTAATGTTTTGTTAAAAGTTTTTTGATATAATTGGTTAAGTCTATGATTATGTCACGCTTCCCTTCGGCTCACAAGCCGAACAGGACTCCATTTCCCATGATGCCACTGACTCTCACATGACTGCTAACCAGAGTCACATGACCCCCGTTCTCAATCTTCTGATTGATAATGTGATGGCCTGGTTTATCAGGTGGACTCATTCTTATTTTGACAGTCACATGTATTTTAATGCTCAGTTGTCTGTGATTCCTTGGAACCGACTGCTGCATTTAAAGCTCAGAATTCATAGATCCACAGCTAAACCACTGCTGAGTGAATGACAGAACAGTGAGGATGTAAGTTTGCTACTGAAAGTGTTTGTTTTCTCTGTGAGGACTGACTCAGCTGGTCCCTCCACACCATTTACGTTTTTACTCTGTCCAAACCAACACAGGAACAGAACAACAGTAATTGAGCTGAATTTGGTAGGAGAACCATGACCCTCTCAGCCCTGGCTGTGGGTGATTAGTATTAAAGTCAGTGTGAGTCAGAAAATATAACCCATTTTCACTCTTTACTGTAATGTATTTCTGAGTTGAGCTCAGGATCTTGGAATGGCTCTGAGCGAGCTGAGAATCTGTATCAACCATAGGTGGGGGGAGGGGGAGGGGAAACATGATACGATTGGTTAATATTATTTTTGTTGCACGGCAACATAATCAAGAATCAGAAGACGATTTGGTAAAACCTTATTACTGAACATCATCTGACAGCATATGACATCTTTCATGACATGTTTATGGCATGATTATGTCAGTGTAACATAGCAAAGTTCAAGTAAATGTTACCTATGTTTTTTGGGACTGAGCAAAAGTCTTTATATTTTAATGATAAGATTTGGGAAAAACAAGAATTTTGTCTTTTAAATGACATGATGCAGCATCATATCATATTATTTGATGAAATATTATGTAAAGAATCATTCTTAACCTGACTGGGAATATGAACTAACCAGGTTAAAAAAGGTTCATTTTGAGTTCAGATGGACTTTAATGTTCTTGCAGATGTTCTACTTGTATTTTCATTGCTGTTCTTTTACTGGGTTGCTCTGATCAACATGCTGTCTGAGAGTGTAGATGTAGAAACCTGTACTGCTGGAAAACTCTGTCTCCATCAGAGCTTTAACTGGAGACAGAGAGCACTGACTCCCATATAATAACCCATATAGACATTTTTCTCTTTACTCTCAGAGCTCATATAGAAAAGTAATACATAGGTGTGTATTGTTTTATTTGAAAATGTGTTCCAAAGTACGTTACGCAAAAAACAAACTATTTTTGGCATTGTCATACATTTTCAAACTTATTTGATAAATGCATTTTACATGCATTTCTTTTCTGTGTGGTAGAGGAACACGGACAGATGATAAAATCATCCTGCAGTTTGATCTGCCACAACTACGCTTGTGATGTAATGTGAGAAAAATGTACCTCAACTAGTTCTTCCTAAAGAAAAAGAAATGCAGTCATATTATCACCGAGTCTGGACTGAGAGTGTGTGTAGATGTGTAGCACAGTGAAATATGAGAGAAGATACAGTACTGAAGTAGAGATTAAGTCAGCATGTGCTGTCCATAAAGTTTTCTTGTCTTTTGTTTTTAAGAATGTTTTCTGTGTAAATGAGCACTGATATGACTTTTTACTGAAGACGGAACCAGTAAAGGTAAGATTGCTCTCTTTTTCCTGATTGATACAACTTTACTGTGTTTTTTTCTGTGTAATAATTCCTGTTTTCACTGCACTGTATATGAAGATGGTTCTTATAAGTCATTCCTCACCAACTCACACCTGCCTGACGTCACATCGTGGGCTTCTATGAAAAAAATAAAAAACCTAAATTTCTCAGCCACACAGGCTGTACACAATTAGTTTTTAGATATGAATTTGCGAAGTTTGTCCCCTTCAGGCTCAAAAATGTGTTGTAAGCATTGAGTGTAACTGTTTACAGAATGACTGAGCAGAGCTGAAATATTAATGGGTATAAATACAACACTCAGAATTATATTTCACCTTAAATGAACAGGTTTCATATTAATAAATGTCCATAAGAGGTTAATTTATTGGATAATGTACTTTTTCTGAAAAAAATTCAGCAGGCATAGGTTCTATTTTGGCGGTGCACTCAGGCATATAAACACCAACCCACGTAAGTTTAAACACTTGAAAAAAAGCATTGCTATTAATCTGTTCCAAAAAAAACTGCTTTGAATTTGATTGTTAAATGAACGCAGCTCAGGTCGAGGCGGAGGGAGAGAGAGAGAGAGAGAGAGAGAGAGAGAGAGAGAGAGAGATGAAGACATTTGGAGAACGAGCAAGTTAGCATAATGTTAGCTAGCTATTAGGGGTGGGTGATACAGCAAAAATGTCATGTCTTGATACTTCAAGATCTTTTCACAATACACATTACGTATCACAACATTTTAGAACTTTTAAAAACAACCACCAAAACTATGAACATGAACTATGAATTATTCAGTGTTTCACACACTGCACTGCACTGCATCCAGTTAAACAGGACTAATTATGAAACATGCAGTTGGTCAGTGTTCTTTAAGTGCTGATGATCTCCGAGACATGCTCAATAAAGCATATTTACTATGATAAATAATTTATCACAATAGTGTTATACTGTCCTCCTCTTCTACCCTTTACGTGTAACTAGCAAAGTCAAACTGGATAGAATTTATTTTCTTAGTTTGAAAAAATGCCTAGCTGGGGTTCCATGACTGATTCATCTAATGTTTACTTAAAAGACAAGAACATTTTATCAGCAAAAGACATTATTTGTATTCAACCTGTGTCATGTTCAACATGTGTTTACCATGTCAACATGGTTTCTTCTGTCAGTAATAAAACACTTCAGTTCACTGTGAATCTCCTTTAGAGCACATAAAAACAGCTGTTAGCCTGTAGAGCAACATACCAGAGCAAAATAATCAGAATGTATCTAAATCTTTTACAGCACCAGCAAAGATGTCACATATAAAGCTGAGCCAGGCAGCCGGTCAGATAATCTGATTTTATATAGTTATGTGACAGTTTATAGTTTCACAGGGGACAAATGCAACACTCGCAGTCAGAGTTTAGCATTTTTATTAAATCTATGAAATATTCCTCTGCAAGCAGTATTTTAAGTTATGGTTATTTATTTATGTATTATTATTATTAATTATTTAGAGTTAATATTTAATTAGCTTAAATTACACAACCTAGTATTAATTCTTTAGGCTCTTTTTTGAATCTATTATTTCTCAAAATGGACTTTTCCTGTTTCCTTCAATCTTTTCCTGAATAAGAACTGAATTCAGTCTGTGATTTATTCATGGACTCACTGCTGTGATATCTGCTCTCAGTTCTTCAGTGAGGGGCAACTTGTTCAGTAGCGAAGCCCTAAAACTTTATTTACTACCCTAATCTTTCAGTAAGTGCTGTTCTGTTTCATCTTTCAGAAACCATCTCAGTGCTTTCCTCTTTACTGAAGTGTTCTCCTTTTACTTCATACCTCAGGGGCTTTTTATCTACTGCAGTTGAAGTTACTTTGGGTTTGTGAAAAGTTTTATGTAAATAAAACATTACTACGGCAATTAATATTACTATTGTTGTTATCATTATTAGCAGTAGTAGTAATATTAGGAGTTTTGTAGTAGCTAGAAAGTGTCTGCGTTTCCTGGAACCCGACAGCTCAACCAGTTTTTTTGGGGAAAGTGAACGTGACTGAATTCATAACATTCCACCTGAAACAGAACTGGAGCCAAAGAATGTCTCTTATCTCTCTTTCTGTCTGTCTCTGCCTGTCAGTCTCTCTCACGCACAAGCTGAACTGTCACTCAGGCACGATCCACTGTTACATGATGTTACAACATTTTAATATGTTCAAAAGCATTTTGTTCTTCAATAAATGCTGTTCTGGATTCCTTCTGTAGTGAAGAGTTTATATTAGAGTATCATTGTAAGTGTAAAGTTAAAGTAGAAGTGAATGAAATGACGAGAAGAAAGTCAAGTCAAGTCAAATTTATTTATATAGCGCCTTTTACAACAGATGTTGTCACAAAGCAGCTTTACAAAGAATCCGGGTCCAAGCCCCCAGTGAGCAAGCCTTGGCGACAGTGGCAAGGAAAAACTCCCTCAATAGGAGGAAGAAACCTTGAGAGGAACCAGACTCAAAAGGGGAACCCATCCTCCTCTGGTCGACACCGGATAAGAGGACAGACACAAAACAGTATAGGTTGATACAGTTTAACACCACTGTGCAGTGCGCCGGCCGCATCTCAGGTCAGACCCTCTTAGGACAGACAGCCGCTCAGCTCAGGGAAAGAGAGGGGGAGGGGGAAGGGGGGAGGGGGGATGAGAGGGACATAGTTAGAAAAACAAATTAACCAAAGGCTCGACTAAACAGGTACGTTTTTAGCCTAGACTTAAAGATGGAGGCTGTGTCTGAGTCCCAAACACAGACTGGTAGGCTATTCCAAAGCTGGGGGGCTTTGTATGAAAAGGCTCCTCCCCCTGACGTAACTTTATTTATTCTGGGTACTAATAATGAGCCCGCACCTTGTGATCTAAGTGGGCGTGTCGGTTGATAATAGGAAATAAGTTCACAGGTACTGAGGAGCAAGGCCATTCAAAGCTTTATATGTCAGTAGAAGAATTTTGTACTCAATGCGGAATTTAACTGGCAACCAATGTAAGGTACAAAAAATTGGGCTAATGTGGTCGAATTTCCTGGTTTTGCTGAGAACTCTGGCTGCAGCGTTCTGGACTAACTGAAGCTTGTTAAGGTTTTGGCTGGAACAACCAGAAAGCAGAGCGTTACAGTAATCTAACCTGGACGTGATGAAGGCGTGAACTAACATTTCTGCATCCTGTAGCGACAGTGCATTTCTTAATTTAGCGATGTTACGCAGGTGGAGGAAAGCTATTCTGGTAATATTGGTAATATGCTCATCGAAGGCCAGACTGGGATCGATCGTGACACCAAGACTTTTTACAGATGTGCCTGGTGCAATTGAGAAACTATCGAGATTAAGAGTAAATGTAGGCAGAAGAAAGGAAGTCTACAGCAGGCTAACCAACTGGCTTATTTGAGATCAGCATTTTATTATTGCTTATACTTTTACAATTATATATTTATGAGTAACAACAAAATGTATATGTTTACAGCTTCTGAATCTTAAAAATTCAAAAAGTAACAAGTTTGTTCATTTTTAAGCAACACAAAAAGTCAAAATGTCATCATGTGAAAGTTTCTGCAGGGCCGGCAGAGTCCTAGATCAGTTCTTCTACTCTGAGAAGCTTTGTGAATACGAGCTCTAGACACTCCAGTTCTGTCTTCCTGCTCTATATGAGTGAACTCATTCAGTTTTCCAGGTATTGATCAGTTTCAGTTCAATTCATTTTTAAAAATATTTTAACAGTAGATGCTCTCAGAACTTTTACTGATGAGTTGAGACAGATTTGTTTAGTGTAGGGAGTTGAAATATATTCTGTTTTACTGTGGAAATTTTCTAGTGTAATAGTGTAAAAGGACAGTTGTGGTACAGAAAGGGTGCAGAATTTAAGCAGTCTATAATTAATAAAACACATACGCATTGTGAAACTACACGAAGATTATCTATACAGTGAAATCAAGATTTAATCTCATTCATAAAGAAACGACTTCATGATGTTTGTTGAGTTCTTTATTATGTGTTAAGGAGGTCATTAAACATTAAAAAGTAATTAAAAGGTGTTACATACTGTTACTACTGTTAGAGAACATGGAGAACAAGGAGTCGCTTCTCAACATGAGTGTTGAGCTAAAAATGTAAACAAATAAGAATAAAAAATGATATTGATTAACTAGTAAAGTGCAGGGAGAGCCGAGATGGCAAAAACACTTGGAAATGACTGAATAAAATAGTAAATGAATAAAATAGTAAAAATGAACATGTAATTAAAAATATCAGAAAGATTGCGCACATAAAGAAAAGTTATTCTAATATATTTCTATTGTGTGTGTGCGTGTGTGTATCTGTGTGTGTGTGTACCCCACATACCTGTTCACATTTATTTTTAGTCTGTTTTGGTGTGTTGGTAATGTAATTTTTTGTAAAACAAATGCACAGACTGTCGTTCTTTTTGAGTCCCCACAGTGTTTTTCCCATGAGTAGTAATTTTATTCTCATCTAAGAAATGTGTTGTTTCCATAAAGTTTTGAGCTGTATGCAGGAGCCATGTTTACGTGACTACAGTGGACATACACATGCGTCATATTGAGCTATGACTGTGCTGCTCAGCTCATTACAGCTCCCACAAACACAGAGAGAATGGAGACAAATGTTTGCTGATTTTACTTGACACTCATCAGTGTTTTGATCAGTCTAATGCTGTTAAAAGTTAAATTAGTAGAAATACCAATTTCACTGACAAAACTGACTATTATCAGATCCAGTCCAATCCTGTCAATCACTACTACTGAGTTATTAGTATGTATGAGGAGAAGTGTGGGTCGGCCTGTGAAGTGTGATGAAATGCTGTCCAGACAAATGCCATCGTGTGGTGACTGAAGATTTAGATTAATTTTTCTTGCACAGCCTAATCCTGACTTTCAACAGAGACAGGGTTGTTAAGGAGCCACGGTTTCATGGTTAGTCACAGTGTATGATCAGGTGGTCACCTCAGTTTATTTTCTAAGTACCCTTCTTCACATTTGTCCGTGTGAACCTCAAAGCACTGGGAGACCAGCTCTGTGGTTCACTCCTGCTGTAAACACAGGCTGCATCGTTGGCTCTGTGTGTTCCAGGTGTTAATGACATCATCACAAATGACAGTTACTGAATGCATGAAAGAACACAGCGCTGTTCCATAAGCAGGTTAAAAACACCTACTTATTGACTTTATCTTGCATTCTGACTATTAACAGTCCCACTATTGTCGTGGAGTGCAGCAGGCACCCGAGCAGTCACCTAACAGTCACCTGTTTGGTGCTAGTGACTAGTTGGCATTTAGCATAATACATTTTGCCTGCTGTCAAATCACTACTGATAAAAAGTAATGCACAGGATTACCAATATAGAAGTTGTGAAAATGTTCACTGTTCAGACAGTTTCACCACTTTTGAATATTTTAATTTTACTGATTATTTGTTGCAGCCCTACTTAAAACTTTTGAATTTTTATGTTCATTTGCAAGTGTTGCATGTGTTTATTTTCAGTAGGCACAGAAACGAACTTGAAAAATAATTAGGAAAGAAATGCATAATGTTTTTGATGTTAATTAGCATCTCAACATTTTGTTGCTGAATTTAGTCGAGTTTTAGTAGAATTTAGTAGAATTGTTTGCATTATTTGCAACTAAATAAAAGTAAACAAAGACACGTACACATGAACACATGTGGTGGGTACTTCAGTTGTACTTCACTGACTTAGGTTGATGTAATTTGACTGGAATGTGTTCTGACCGGTTTTTGTTTTCTGGTTAAATGTCTTTTAGACAAGGAAAACAAAGCAAACTCCAGAGCTGAAGCAGAGACAGAGTAAGTAAATGGCCTGGTGTCTATTGTAAGTCAAATGATCTAGTCATCATACACTGTGAAATTACACATTTGTGACATTTTTGTATTCTGTAGTTCTGTAAACTAACCCTTTATGAAGATGGACATTTCAGATGTTCTTTCTGAAGACTGAAGACAAAGTCAGAGAAAAGTGAAAGTAATCATGATCATTGATGTAGTGTTTCGCTTTCATGTTTGTAAAGTTAGACTTTTGTTCAGAGTTTTCAGACTAAAAACAGCTGGGAAAGCAGGAACTCAGTCTCAAGCAGAAAACTGGCCTTCATTTGCAGTGGTAACAGCAAATCTCTTACATAATTATCAGATGAACTGTATAGATGTTTGTGTGATTACCTCGACCATCATTACAGTCCCCCAAAAAACCAATATTACTAGACTAAATGACTACAGGCCAGTAGCCCTGACCTCTGTAGTCGTGAAGGTCCTAGATCACCTGAAGGCCATTATAAACCCTCTGCTGGATCTGCTACAATTCGCATACAGAATTAACCGGTCTGTTGATGTTGTGGTCAACTTGGCCTGGCATTTCAACAGTCCTGGAACCTAGAGTTCTGTTTGTGGACTTCAGCTTATAGTGCCACAGCTGCTGCAGGTCACACTGCCCCATCTGTCTGTGGCAGATCTCATCTGCCAGTGGATCATGAATTTCCTGATGAACAGTAGACAGCAGGTGCGGCTTCAAAAACACACACCAGACCCCCGTACTGGAGAACCACAAGATCATATGCTCTGACCCCTTCTCTTCAGTCTGTACACCAATGACTGAGTCTCTAAGGAACCAGCTGTGAAGATTTTGAGGTTTGCAGATAACATGACTGTAGTGGGCGTCATAGCCAATGGTGATGAGTCTCGCAAGAACAAGCCAAACTCCAGCACATAATCAGGACATCAGAGAGGATCCCTGGATGTGTCGGCCAACACTACAGAACATCTACAACAACAGGGTGATGAAGTGCACTCAAAATTACAGATAACCCTTATCATACTGGACATTTCTAGCCACTTTACTCTGGTAGAAGATTTAGGAGCATCAAAACCAGCACAACCACACACGCTAATGCCCCCCCCTCCACCCCAAGAGCTGTAGCTCATTAACCATAGCAGTCACCTCACACTTTAAACTTAAACTAAACCAAACAAACCTCCTTACTGTATTACAGCTACCTCTCTGTAACATAATGTTCATTTGCACAGCTGTTTAGATGTCATTTTTGTATAAATATTCTTATTATTCTGTATATAATAGTTATTGCATTATGTGTGTCCTCAGACCTGCAAATGTATAGATATTCATATCTGCATATGTACACATTCACATATGTCTTTAACTCCTTTCACATTGGCTTTTATTATTATTTTTATTATTTTTATTTAATTTATTCTATTTTTATTTTGTTTTATTTTATTTATGGAACAACAGAAAATTACTTACATTAGAAATGAAGAGTGTTTTTGCCTTCACTAGTAAAGTTATTATTTTTGAGATACATATATTTTTTTTTTGACAGCAATGATATGTTGAACATTCATTAGTGTTTTATCCATTTAAGAGATCAGAAATGATCTTTTATAGATACAGACTACCAATAATAATATAATATTCACATGCAGAATTCGACATCAAATATTACTTCATCTTTTCAGTTATCAAAAAACTCCATTAACTTGACTGCATTATCCTTTTTTCAGTTCCAGTTATACACGATGGCAAACAATCCTGAAGTGCTGCAGAATATAACTGATAAACAAGGTAATGGAATATACTTCGTTTCTTCTTTCCACTTTCCACTGTCCTTCTCATCTGTTGATCAAGAGGAGTTTATCTTTTTATTAAGATCTTTTTATGGTGTACTCATTTCTCTAATAGATTCAGGTGGTCTTGTTTGAATGAAGAATGTACACAGTAGAAAATGCCATGTTTTATTTGGTTTATTTATAAAGAAAATTTGCTTGTTAATGTTGGTGTATGATGTTTTGTAGGGGTTGATAACAACCATGTGTGCTATGCTGGAACCCAAAAGGCTTAAGAAGATTTACAGTTACATGATGTGTTTGCAACACAACACGTTCACTAGCACTTCTTTGAGACCCAGTGAGAAGATGAATAGTATTTTTAGATGAATGGTTCATTATAGTTCTCCACAATGTGATACTGGATGTTCTTATGATAGTGGTATGGATCATGGCCTCAGAGCTGGAAATGTAATGCCAAAGCAGGCTTGCTGACAGAAAACCTTTGGTTTAAATTTGTTTAGTTCTGAGACTTTTTTGTATCCTTTCTGGAATTTTATAGTAACACTTTTGTGCCCTCCTGTGAACACGGATCAAACTGGTCAAGTGCAGACCACCAGACCGCAGAATGAACCAGTCCAGAACTCCACAGCTCAGACTGGAGGAACAGTCAATGCACCTCTTCTACATGGAAGTGTGTTTCATGGACCAGTTAATATCAACTTTGGAGCTGACTCTACACACAGAGGTATTTGATATAATTACAGATTGAGATAATACAAATATAGTGCAAATGCTGTAGAAGGGAGCGGTTTTAGTTGTTACTTAGATCCATACATTTCTAAAAGAAAACCTCCAGTCGTCTTCTCTGTCAAAACATTAAACACAGTGATTAAATCAAAGTTCGAAGTTTTATTTGTTACTATTATACACGTTACAATTGGCAGTGAAATGCTGTAATCTTCTCTTATTTCCAGATGAGAAAACGGTTTTACAGAAACATCCTAAGTTGCCAAAATATCCTAAATATTGTCTTAACTTTAAGATAAACTCCAGAGTGTCTTAACTTCTGTTTTAATTGTCTGTTTCTATTGTTTTATGCAGTGACAGGCAGCACAGGCATCATAAGTAGCATAATGACGTTACATTTTTCTACACTGAAAACTGTGGTTTGACGTGAGTTTTTTTTCTAACAGCGTTATCTCCACCATTCCTCTTATTACCTTCATGTGTTATTGTTGATGAAAACTCATCAGATAAAATTATACAGTGATGGTGGTGAATAATGAGGAGACAGAGCTGAACATGTGTCTGTTTATTGGGAGGAGTGACCTTAGCGTGCTCAGCTAAAGCGTTTGGGAAATGAAAATGAAACTGTGGAGCGGTGACGCTCTGATAAACCGAAGCTCTGTAAGTTAAAATTTACTAACTTGAGATAAGATGCTGTAAGATAAAATTAGATTTTTAAACTAAATTAAGATTTGCTTCTGTTATATGAATTTGTGAAAAACCTTATCTTGACCCATCAGATCTTAAGTTAAGACAAAAAGGTAGGAAGTTTCTGTAATACGGCCCCAAAATCCTACCACAACATACATTTGCTGAAGGTCTGTGTAAAGGAAAATTCACAGATTTGTTTCTGAACATTTTATACATGTTAGAAAATATTTGCTGAAGTCATGTGAAAAGACTGTGAGCTCTGTAGGAGTGAACTGTGGATTTTTAAACTGTTTTTCATCATTTTTGTGTTCAGGATTTTTTGGGTGGGCCTGAAACTGTGGCTTGATGACACACTAGAGACATATTTAGCATGAACCTTCTACTAACACTAAAACATTATAACAGCTAGAGCGCATTACCTTCAGTGGTTCTCCCAGCCTAATTTTATTTGGCTAGGTTGTGCTAGTCAGTATAACTTGCATAAATGAAAGAAAAAAAATACCATTTTGTTGCAGACTGAGAGGAAACATGTAGCTATGGCTGTACAAGTCCAATAAAACTGCTAGCGGCTTCATTTCAATCCAAGAGAGGCTTTTCTGCCCAACCTAGTAAGCTAATGGATGTGCCAACATTAGTACGGAACTGAAGTGGGCTTCCTGTTTGCCAGCTTCATGTTCAGATTTTCATGTGCCACCTTAAATAGTGTAGCAGTTACATGCTGGCGAACACAAAGCTAAAGAGGGCTTGCATGTTTCACATGATTGGGTGCTGTGTCAGTGCCTTCAGTAGACACGCCCCCAGCATTTCAGAGCAGAAAATATTGCTTATTTTTTCATGATTTTGAAACCTAATTTTGTGTACGTGGTGATTTTCTTGATCGTTCAAATTTGGCTGGGTGGTTAATAGTACATTTTTCTGTAGTTTGACAAACTCAGAACACATTTATTTCTGCTTTGCAAGGACTTGAAGTAATACTAAACTTTACACTTAACTGTGTCAGCCCTAAACATCTATCGGTCCTGCTGTACACACACAGTGTTTGAGCATAACAAAACTGTTTAAGGGCAAAGTAACCGGTCTTCTCCTGCAGTGAAGTGCTTGGCTGTACAGTTGCAGCTGTTTGGTTCTGGCTACCTGTGTTATATCTGAAGAGGCATCTTTTACTTTTTTGGGAAAGTAGACTATGTCTAGTGTACCAGAACACACACACACACACACACACACACACACACACATCATCTAAACCGCTTATCTGGAGCCTATCCCAACTGTCATCAGGCAGAAGGCAGAAAACTGCCCTGGACAGGACCCCAGTCCATCACAGGGCGCCAGAACATTTGACAGCATTTGTTTTATCCTTTTTTTCGTTCTCCCAACTCCATAATAATTGCTCAAAGAGATGTTTTGTACTCCTAATTCATTACTAATATTCACTCTCTCAGGTGGAGACAGAAGTGAGAAGGAAACTGGTAAGAGTGCAGCAGCCTCCTCCACTACAGCTCAGATTGGAGTCTCAGTTAGTGCTCTTACTGCAGGTAAACTCAACACATCATCATCATCATCTTCATCAGTGCATGGCAATGATTGAAAAGTAAACATCATGGTGCCCATAAGTCCTTAACATATGCGCTTATTCTCTTTATTTAGGGTGATATGGGGTTTGTATACTGTGGGCCAGCTTTCCAGACAGGGATTAAGCCAGTCACAGACTATGCAGGATTTTGAGTTTTAAATCGAAAGCAAAATATAGTTCATTAGTAAGCTTGTAGGCTCAAAAGCCTTTACATTCCAGCAATCTTGGCCTCACACTGGCACATACTGACCATGCAGAAAAGTCCATGCTTCTATTTGAAATATCTTCAAAATATACCTTTTAAACTCAATATGTTAGAATGTGTACCAAATCCACCAATTACTGTATAACTTGACTTTCCTTCCTCCATGCTGTACCAAAAGAGAAAATGACATGATAGGTATACAATTTAATAAGAAATTTGTGTAGTATGTGTCATAGATTGACTTTCTGTTAAGCCTTATTAGTAAACAAATTATTACCTTAGTCTTTCTGACATATCCTTGTTTTTTACTGATATAAGTCATGCTAGTTAGCAGTGGTAAACAAACATGAATACACAAAGAATAAATTCTGTATAATACAATCCTTACTCACATATCACTAAAAATGGAATAACATTTTGTTTTATTGTTACTTTTTAGCAGCTAAAGAAGATGGAGGTGTAAAAGATGCACTGAAAAGACATTTTGTGGCAAAATTTGCAAAGCTGTATGACAGGACTTCACTAGAAGGGAGTAATTTGCTTTTGAAAGACATTTACACTGAACTATATGTGATTGAAGGCTGCACAGGAGGAGTGAACACTGAGCATGAAGTGAGACAGATAGAATGTTTTTATCCCAAAATAGAGGAAACATCAATCAAGTTCAGTGACATTTTCAAAACACAATCCAGTGAAAATATGCGTGGCACTAAAGTACTTACACTGGGAATAGCAGGAGTGGGAAAAACAGCCTCTGTACACAAGTTTATTCTTGACTGGGCTGAAGACAAATGCAACCAGGATTTAGATTTCATTCTGTTTTTTCCCTTTCGGGAACTGAACGTGATCAAAGAGGAACGGTACAGCCTCTGGAATCTTCTACTTTACTTCCATGATGAGTTCCATAATGCAGATGTAAAGGAGATCTTGAATGACAAGTGTAAGGTGGTTTTTATATTAGATGGACTGGATGAAAGCAAACTTAATCTAGATTTTAATCAAAAGAAACTATCTAATGTAACAGAGGAGACCACCATTGATAAACTAATAACAAACCTCATCAAAGGAGAGCTGCTTCCCTCTGCTCTCATCTGGATAACCTCTCGACCAGCAGCAGCCAAACAGATTCCACCCAAATACTTTCATCATGTGACAGAAATACGTGGATTTAATGATCCACAGAAGGAGGAGTACTTTAAGAAGAGAATCAGGGATGAAGATCAAGCCAGCAGAATTATTTCACACATTAAGACAGTAAGAAGTCTCCACATTTTGTGTCACATACCAGTCTTCTGTTCAATCTCAGCCACTGTGCTACAGGAAATGTTGAAGGATGACAAAGACATGAAAAATGCTCCCACAACTCTTACAGAAATGTACACACGTTTCCTGCTGTTTCACACAAGAATAAAGAGTGAGAAATACAGCATAATGCAAAATGAGGACAGTACAGATCCCCCATCTGAGAAAGACAGACTGGGAGTAGAGGGTGTATTGAAGCTCGGAAAACTAGCTTTTCTTCAGTTACAAAAAGGACAACTCATATTCTATGGAAATGATCTGCAGGAATGTGGCATTGATGTTGATGAAGCTGTAGTGTACTCTGGAGTTTGTACACAAATCTTTAAAAAGGATGAGAAGATTTTCAGCTTTGTACATTTGAGTTTCCAGGAGTTTCTTGCTGCCGTCTTTGTGTTCCTCACATTCAGTCATAAAGATAACCCACTCTTTCAAACCAAAGGTGAGAAAATAAAGTGGAAGTTTAAACATACACTGGATGATCTCCTCAAGACAGCAGTGAATAAGGCCATGAAGAGTGAAAATGGACATCTGGACCTTTTCCTCCGCTTCCTTTGTGGTCTCTCCCTGGAGTCCAATCAGAGGCTTCTTAAGAGTCTCCAGCGAGAAATGGACATCAAAGAAGTGAGTCTAAAGGCCGTTGTAGACTACATTAAAAGAAAGATCAAAATGAAAAAACACTCTGAGAAGAGCATCAATCTCTTCCATTGCTTGAGTGAACTGAAAGACAACTCCCTGACAACTGAAATTCAGGAATACCTGAACTCAGGAGATCTCTCAACACAGAAACTGTCATCTACACAGTGGTCAGCTCTGGTGTTTGTGTTGCTGATGTCAGAAGAGACTCAAGAGAAGTTTGAGCTAAAGAAATACAGACCATCAGATGAAGGACTGAGGAGACTACTGCCAGTGGTGAAAAACACAAGACGAGCATTGTAAGTTATTTTCTCTAACCTTATTTTGAATGCCTCTATTGCTGACCAACCTTTAATAAATTGTTAAAATCTCCATAGGTTATATTAATACACAATGTAATTCAAGAATGACCGATAAAATCAGTAAACTATTGAATATACTGTGACGTTAACATGATATACATTTTAGGAGTACACAATAGAAATTGGTCTGAATGGTAAATAATGTGAGCCAGTTAAGTACAGGGTACATTTTTAATTTAGATGATGAAAATATCTTTAAAAAGGCATTTTGACTATATTTGCTATTGTAATATGTCAATTTCTACATTAAAAGACCTATTTAACTATCCCTGCACAAAACTACACTATATGTCCAAAATTATGTGGACACTCCTCCTAATTATTGAGTTCAGGTGTTTCAGCCACACACATTGATAACAGATATATAAAATCCAGCACATGGCCATGCAATCTCCATAGACAAGCGTTGGCAGTACTGGATTATACTGAATAGATCACTATGTGCAGTGCCAAGTACTGGCTGGAGTGGTATAAAGCACACTAGCACTGGAATCTGGAGCAGTTGAAATGCCAGAATGCATAGCACTATCAGTAAAGTTTAACAAATTAGAGATAATGGTCTGGGGCTGTTATACAGGGTTTGGGCCCCTTTGTTCCAGTGAAGGGTAATGTTAATTCTAGAGCATGCAAAGACATGTTGGACAATTATATGCTTCTAACTTTGTGGCACCGCTATGGGGAAGGCCTTTTTGTGTTGTAGCATGACTCTGCCCCTCTGCACACAGTGAGGTCCATAAGGCATGGTTTGGTGAGTTTGGTGTGGAGGAATTCCAGTGACCAGCACAGACCCTTGACCTTAACCCCATTGAACACCTTTTGGATGATTTGGAACATTGATTGTGAGCCAGGCCTTTTCATCTAACATTAGTGTTTGATCTCACAAACACTCTTTTGACTGAATGGGCACAAATTTCCCCAGACACACTCCAATCTTGTCAAAGCCTTCCCAAAAGAATGGGGGATGTAATAGCCCCAAAGGGGGGACCAGATCCATATTAATGCCCCTGTTTTTGAAATGGGATGTCCAGCAAGCTCATATAGATGTGATGGTCAGGTGTCTACATACTTTTAGCCATATAGTTTTTGTCATGCAAAGCTCCAGTAAGTTTGAGAGATTTTTTGTCATATAATCATGAGCATTTTAGCAAACAGCAGCATTTCATGTGGAAGCATCCCCTTTTAAGCAGCCTTTTTGACCACTAGTTTCATGTGAGCACAATTACATAAGCACATAAATTTATCACCAGCACTTTGTTTAATATAACTTAAGTCAGTTTTTTTTTTGAAGCATATGTTGTGTTTACTATAATTTCCAGCCTTTTAATTAAAATAGATGCAGTTTCCATCTGCAAGCAGTCATGGATTTGTACATGAGCTTCTGTTCTGCTGTGGATGCTGAGTCAAAAATGCAACCCTATCAGAAAGCTGCTAGGAGTTATCGAAGGCCATGTTACCTGTGAAAATGAAGTAGATCTCATCTGTTAGGATTATGTTTCATACCAGTGTGTTTGGCCAGCAAAGTATGAGCTTTGGGGAAAAAATTATTAATAGTCACTAATAATACTGTTAATTGTTAATGTAATTGTCTTTGTTGTCTGTTAAAAAAAATAAGTGACCAATAAGCCAATAAAAAAAGCATTCTAACTGTAAAGAAATGAGAAATGTCCATAAAAATCATGATAGGCATATACCCTTATAAACATATTTATAATCACTCGACTTCACTCTGCTATTTAAACTATATGTTTTGTGAGTGTAGTATGAGTGAGATTCTACAAATTCCTTATTCTGAATTCATACAGTGCATACAGTCAGCTCACACATATTAATAAGGTCACTATAAATTACTACACTATATATTGATTCACACTGAAAATAAGAGAACAATTGAATGTTTGAAGTTGAATTGCTCTAAACAAAAACATTTATGAAATATTTTAATAAAGCCATGTGTTACAATTATTGGCACTCCTGCATTTGGTGCTTTATGGAACCTTTATTTGCCCACATAACAGCAGTAAGTCATTCTCTATAATGCTTGGTTAGAGAATACAGAGCAATCTGAGAATACAAGCAATCTGAGCCCCCATCTCAACACAGAATCTTTCCAGATTCTCCAGGGTCCTAGATCCTCTGATTTGGATTGTCCTCTTCAGCTCATCCCACATTTTTTCAGTGGGGTTTAGGTCAGGGGACTGAGATGGCCATGTCAAAAACTTGATTCTGTGGTCAGTAAATCATTTTAGTGTGGATTGGAACATTGTCCAATTGGAAGATCCAGGCATGACCCAATTTTGTCTTTCTGGCAGAGACAAATTTTCAAGTAAAATCTCCCAGTAAAATCTGTCTTGAGTCCATGATTTTATGTGTCAAAAACAGTCCTAAAACATCATGATACTTTACAATGGGGATTAGGTTCTATTCAGTATAACAAAAATATGTTTACACCAACTTAGGGTGTCTAATTGTAATTAAATGGCCCCAAAATACTGCCATATTCTGCAAATCTCCAGGTTTGATTTTTGGAGAAATTTTGACTCTTTTTTATATCATTGCCCAACTCATGAAAGTCTACAAATTTTGTCTCATTTTATTTGTTTGTTCTCTAATCTTTGTGATGCTGATGAATGTCACTGGCACTGCACAGGCTTTGGTAAGGACAGGGGCTGAGGTGCTTTAAAAGGGCATTTTGTAGGGGCACTTCTGAATCAGAATTTCTTCAGTGTATGAAAACACCATTATAGACAAAGTTATTTGAATTTTATGGCATTCTCTACGAATATCTGATTTTGAGCTGACTGAGCATACAGTACGTACACACAGTTTGAAAAACGGCTTCTATATACATTTAGCCTATATGAATATTAAGCTAGAACTGGCAGTGAAAGCTATAGGCAGATAAATACGAATGTACTAGCCTGTATCCTTTAAGTTTAGGATTTACCCTGTTTTGTGCTTCTAAAAAGACATTATATTATTCAATGTCAAGGTTGGATCATTGTAACCTTGTTGGGAGCATCTGTGAAGCACTGGCATCAATGTGGAGTTCAGATTTACCACTGAAAGAGCTGGACCTCAGTAATAATGACCTGCAGGATTCAGGAGTTGGGCTGCTCTCTGCTGGACTGATGAGTTCACATTGTAAATTGGAGATACTCAGGTGAGCTTTCTGTCAATTAATTACTGCATGTAAAAATACTATGTGAATGCACAGTAGTCAGCCTATCAATAACACTGATTATAAAAATATGAAAATAAGTCATGCGCTTTTAATCTTTCCTTTATACCTGATACATGCATGCTACCTCTGTATGGGATGAGCGACCCGGCATCATCACTGATATAGCTTGCATGCACTGGCCGCAGTGCAGAGCAGCAACACAGTTATACAGTCATCGTTTATCCAAACAGATAAATAGTAAATTTAGCTGTTCTGCTCAATAAGAATATCCTTTATAAAAGAGCGCAGTACATCTGTTTACCATCAACAGCATTCTGACTGTGATTGGATGAACACCTGGAAGACCAGCCAGAAAACCTGTATGCAGCATGGAATGTTTAAATAGTATTCCTTTTAATGCTGTTCATAAATTAACATTTTTATTTAGTTTTCTATTTAATTTCCATTGATTTTCATGGCTGTTTTTTACAGAATATATCAGCACCTCTTGTAATTTCTAAATCACCACCATAGACTGCACTGTTCAATTCTGTAGGACCATCGGAGCAGCATCTTGGCTGGGCTTGGCTTTACTTGAAGCACTGTATAATTTGGTTAATGGATCAAAAAAAAAGAAACAATTAGGCAATCAGTCAATAATGGGCAAGACTTGACCAGTCAGATTTGACTATGTAAATTCTAAGTCAGGGACACTGCTACAGTGAGGCAATCCTGGGTATTTGAATGAACAACCTACTGCTTTACTTACAACTCATTAAGGCATGACTCTGAGCCTGGTTCATAAAACTTAAAGGAGCCGCACTTCACCACACAAAATGCAACATTGGCAAGAAAAAACTCCCTAAGAGCAATAAGAAGAAACCTTGAGAGAAACCAAAACTCTAAAGGGGATCACATCTTCCTCTGGTCGACTCTGGATAGCAAAACAAAAACATAAGCAACATAAGCAGAAAGTAAGGTTTTACCATTAATGTAAAATGTTATAAATAGAGGAATTTAAAAAACTGACTGTCATTGAAAAGAAGTATTTAGCTTAAGAACTGATCTGTGAAAATCAGTCACTCTTACAAGTGAAAAACAGTATCACAGAGAAAACCATGAATGTCAATGACTAATGTTAGAAGACTACTATCTGATGATCATCTGTTAATATGAATATGAGAAGCGCCCAGAGTATTATGAGGCAGGAATGCGATGTCTATGATTAAATAATTAGAGTTTGTGCAAGCAGCAGTATCATGAGGAGGGTCAGTGGCATGCAGGTGAGGCTTTGTGCAAAGCTTTGGACAGCACAAAGCTCCATTGTGGTCAGACTGGTCCAGAAAGTGTTAAGTGGGCGCCCAATCAAGGCAGATGAAAAACAGCATCAGACCGTGCAGTATGGCAGCAGTTGTTCAGCTCAGCACAGACAGTTCTGTTAGGAGTGACTGAAGACAGAATACAGAGATATTACAGCCTACTTTACAGGGAGATCCTGAAGGTAACAAAGACAAGAGGGCACCCTGAGATGTCAGTGCCCCTCTGTTCCACCATCAGCAAATGAGAGTGAACCCATGAAAGCAGCAGGACGACAGCACCAACACTCGCAGTTTACTATAATACTGTATGTCCATGAACCCCCTGACCTGTACCTTTTATCTAACGGGGGAAAAAACTAATTACCAAAGTCTTGACTAAACAAGTGGGTTCTTAGCCTAGACTTAAAGACTGAGGCTGTGTTCAAGTTCTAAACACTGACTGGAAGGTTATTCCAAAGCTGGGAGCTTTGTATGAAAAGGCTCTATCCCCTGATCCACTGTTATTTCTAAGTAATACCACACATAAAAAAGAGCCCTAGTTAAGAATACATGAACAGCTATCTCATATCTATGGTTACACAGATTTTTTTTTTGCAGAAATACAGAACAGGAACTACTTTCACTCATTATTTACCAAGGACATTTCTACTTTTACTCAGGTACAGGAACTTTGTGTCAGAATACATATATTCACTCATTTAGGAAAACATATGAAATTTATGACTTAAATTTTTGGGAATTTTTTTATATAAAACTAATATATAACATTCTTAAGGGTCCTTTACTTCATAGCATTGTTAAAATTTGAACAAACGTCTGTGACTTTAGTTAAACGCCCTTATGTCAATACAATGCCATGTACAAAATGTTTAAAGTCATCTTTTGATTACTGGCATAAGCTGTTTATAAATATACAGTTGTTGTTTTACAAATGTTATTCAATTATTCAATGTGCTTGTGTGATGTACTGCATGTTGCTTGACGTAAACACAAGACAAATCTATGAATATTGTACTTTGTTAGATCATATTTTAAATAAAATAACTAACAAATAATAAATAAACTAACAGTATTAAGAAACTGTGTTAAGTGAGGAGTAGATTAAATGGAAATAGCTTTGTTTTGTATGACTAGAGCAAACTAAATCTCACAAACCTCTCCTTACTGTGGCCCATAACTATATTTTAATTTTTAATTTTTTTTTTTAACTTTGCAGTGAAAATTAATGGCTAGTTCAAGCTCACAATTTAATGGCCCCATGTTTTCCAGTTAATAGTGAAGTTATCAGAGTGGGAAGATCAGTTTGAAATAGAATTTATTGGCACCAGAACAGCTTTATTAGGACACGGGTTTGCCAAAATTAACAACAACGGCATTAGGAACATATAGTTTTTTAAAACTTAATAACAAAAAATGTACAGGTGCACACTAACTCAGTATTTAGATGTTTCATCACAAGATAATCTTGGTTGAATAACTGTCTAATAAGTAGATTTTTTGAATGGTAATACATAGTTCTGAAACTGTCAATTTTCAGTATGCTGCTGTTAAGTTTGGTTTAATATTTCATCTTTCTCAGTCTATCTCTGGTTATTTTCTTCTTTCTCCTCTCACTTAGCAGATTATCTGGTTGTATGATCACAGAAAAAGGCTGTTCTTTTCTGGCTTCAGCTCTAAGTTCAAACCCCTCACACCTGAACAAACTGGATCTGACCTACAACCACCCAGGAGAGTCAGGAGTGAAGCTGCTCACTGCTAGACTGGGCGATCCACACTGCTCACTCAGCACACTCAGGTATTAACAACTGTGTTCAGAGGTTTGTTTTTTTGTGTGTATGTGTAAGCCTGGAAAGTAATAATATTGAACTGAAGAATGTAATCATCTGCTTCTTACGTATTTCTGAAAAGCTCTCCAACATATTAATCCTAAGTATGAAGTAATAGTGTAACCATACAGTATATTTGCATGTACAGTATGACAACTATAATATAGTAACTGTACAGTATTGAAAGGTGACTGTACTGTATACTGTAGGATAGCAACGTTACATTAATTTAGTGACTATAGTACAGTAAGTGTACAATCTACAGTAGTGCAATAACTGTGCACTATTGTTTAGTAACTATACTCTATACGGTAGTGTAATTACTGTGCACTATAATATCATAACTGTACTCTGTACTGTTGTGTAATTACTGTGCACTATAATATAGTAACTGTGCTCTATTGTAATACAATTATTATGCACTATATTATAGTAACTGAACTTTATATCGTAGGGGTTTTCAAACTTTTTTTGAGGTGACCCATATTTTTGTCATTGATTTTTTTATGCAGCACAAATAACAAATCTAACCCTGAACATTAATGAACAACAAAAAAGGAAATACACTTAATTTATAAGAAGGTTGGGCCCATCTGTTCTATACCATCTCATCACCAAGTCACTAGGTGGTGACTGCTTCTCCAGGGAAACACTGTGTATTTCTTCCATCAAATTATTTATATTAGATGAAATGTATGAAAAAAGAGAAGTCTGTATGAAAAAGTAGATGTGTATAATACTGCACTCCCATTTTGGCATACAGGTCTCAAAAAGACAACTGTTGAGAGCACTACCTTTATTAAAGTTTACAGTTTTGACAAAGTCTTTCATTACCAGTTCCATCTCTTGTGGCATTTCTTTTGATGCCAGAGCTTCACGATGACTGAAACAGTGATTCCAAGTAATGTCCTGGGCTGCTGCATCCTTAATCCTATTAATAACGCAGGCTACCCCATTGCTTGTTACATCTTTGCAGTTAGTTCAGCCCAGCATATGATTCGCTATGTAAGAGTTTATCTGTTCAGATGTCTGTTGTCTATTATGCTGGAAAGCAGTACTAAATGCACTTAGTCATTGTGTGATAGTGTGTGACTCCTGAGATGATATTTACAATCCTTGAGCCTTTCTCTAAAAAAAAGGACAAAGGCTTAGCTGCTGAATCACCACGACAGTTTGTTAAATGACACAGCAGATTTCCTGGTTTCAAACTCTTGTGTGCCACCTTTTCCCCACAAATAAGGAACATTAGCATCTTAAATGTTGGAAGAGTTAAAACTTTTAAAATAGTCCAGACTTTAAATATTCTATTTTTTCTTGGTTTGCTCAGAAGCAGCACTACTAGCTTGCTGCTCGCTGCTGTGTTCTAGTGTGCTTCCACCTGCTTACATCATGGCAAAGATGGCAAACTTTTTTCATTGTTTGTTGAGCCATTGACTCACTCTCTGTTTATCTTGTAAAGGACCCCTTTCAATGCTTCTGACTGTTGTGGGCCTATTTATTTACCAGTTATGATTTTTGCTATTTACAAGAGCCAACAAATGAATAGTAGAAACAAAAGAAGCTATACTAATTTGAGACAGGCTAACCAGAAACTCTGGGTGTCAACATCATCATAACTCAAAGCACACACAAGGGGATGTTTAAGTGCAGGTAAATTTTGTTTCTGTTTTTTATTTATTTGTTTGGTTAATTACTGTAATATAATCATTGTATAGTATAATGTATTACAGTAACTGTCCACTTCAGTATAGAACAGTAACTGTCCAATATACTGTCATATATGAACTGTACACTACAGTACAGTATCTGTAAAGTATACTGTAATATAGAAACAGTATATTTTAGTATAGTATAACTTTATGCTATAGTAGTGTAACTGTACATTATTGTGTTCAGCTCCTTACAGGTGTTTCTGCATTCTGTCTAAAACATAGTATGGGAATTTCAAATATGCTGCCTACTGAGGTACCTCATTTTGGCCGAATATCGAGAGAGCATTGATGCTTCTCAGCTGCTGAGCAATCCCGCGATGCAGCGCGCGCAACTTTGTGTATGAAAGGCGGGCGTAAACGCTTCTCAGCATGTCCATGTGGCTAACTGTGATTCTCGTGCAGTGGGCGACGTCATTGCTGTCTAACTAGAGGTCTCATTTATCTGTAGTAGATACAGGTTTTGACGTCACTTCAGGATTTCAGCTGCCTAGGTAGACAGCGGCTATTAGAGAGCTCAAGGTGTGTGATACACCCTTGTGTTTCACAATATTTACAGTCACTTGGAAACAGCAGCAAGCTCTGTCAGGATTTTTAAGAGCTTTTAACAGAGCCCAGAACTTAATGATTTATCTTTTGTTTAGACTAGATTTTGTTAGAGCTGAAAAAGTTTTTCACACTGTTCTAGTGAGAAGAAGGGTACCACAGGGAACCGTCTTGTCCCCATCAAAACTTTTGTAAGGAGTTTAAGAGCAGTGTAGGACATTTATATATTAAATAGGAAGAAAAAGAAGAGAAGGTTTGCAGCCTTTTAAAATATCATTACATTTGTGCTTGTCAGGTTTACTTTCAGGGACCGTTCTGTCAGTACTGCTCCAGCAGGTCCAGGACTTAGTAGGAGAAACATGCCTGTTTATATATAAATTTATATGGATTTTCTTTGCATTTTTGAGTTTTATCTGCATTGTGGATGCTGCGACAAACTGTTTTCATAGACAGTGGTTTTCAGAAGTGTTCCTGAGCCCATTCAGTGATTTCAAATAGTTTTTAATGCAGTGCCGCCTGAGGGCCCAAAGATCACAACCAGTAAATATTGTTTTTTTTGGCCTTGTCCCTTCCACACAGAGATTTCTCCAGATTCTCTGAATCTTTTAATGATATTAAGTACCGTAGATGATGAAAAGCAAAAGTTCTTTGCTATTTTACGTTGAGAAACATTATTCTTGAATTATTGTACTACAGATCATGCAGAGTGGTGAACCCCTCCTCATCTTTACTTCTGAAAGACTCAGCCTTTCTGAGATGCTCATTTTATATCAATCAACCACCAGGTGTTTTTTTAGCATTACACAACTTTATCAGCCTTTTGTTGCCCCCGTCCAAAAACTTTTTTGGAACGTGTTGTTGGCATCAAATTCAAAATGGGCAAATATTTTTCAAAAAGCAATAAAATTTCTCACTTTCAACAACTGATCTGTTGACTTTGTACTATTTCAATTAAATACAGGGTTTAAAAGATTTGCACATCATTGCATTTTGTTTTTATTTACATTTTGCAAAGCAAATGGGTAAATAAGGGTTTAAGGGTAAATTAAATTAATATGAGTATTTATTAAGGGATGAATTACAAGTATTTTTATTTCTAGCTTTAGCTCACTTTTCACTTTGAATAAGAAAATATTTGTGCTGTCAGCACCAAAATATAAAATAACAAGCAATAATGACAATGTAAAACTTGTGGATATTGGCTATTATACAGTAATAATCTCTTTTTTCATGAAAATAGATAATTCAAATGGCAAATAAAGCTGTCAGAATTCACCATAAAGAGCTTTCAATACAAAAAAATTCTTTCATCCCTTTAACTTGTACAGCAAGTAGAATCAGGACTAAAAAATCAACAGTTACTCTTAATAACAGTTATACGTTACAAACAAACAAGAATATTAACCTCTCAGCTCAGTGGAACAGTGTAAGTTACTGAGTCTCTGATAAGATGCAGTAAATGGAACTCAGTTACCAGTCTGCAGCAGTGGGACTGATGCTGGAGGATGTCTTTGAATAGCCAGGTGAACTCCTCCTAAACAGAGCTAAAGAGAGTAAAGCTGCACCACAATGTCTGAGATACGCTCACAGAAAATGGCGCAACCCGATGCCCTTTCAGTCCCAAGTAGCCTTTTACAGAATGTTGTCAAAGCCTTCAATCCTCCCAGTACCCCACAACAAAACACCAACCCTCTCAGGTGTGTGTAGAAGAATGAACAGTTGCTTAGAACTTAAAAAACTGATCCAAAAAATCCCCAAAAAGCGCTGTTATTTCAAAAACACAAAGGCTTGGATATTCCAGACTCACTGAAACTGAGATGTGTCTGTCTCTCTCTCTCTGTCTGTCTCTCTTTCTCAGAAAAAGAGAGTCAGAGAGAAATAGAGAGTCACAGAGAAAGAGAGAGACAGAGAATGAGAGATAGACTCAGAGAGAGAGAGAGAGAGAAATAAAGAGAGAGAGTGGGGCTGAGCGAATCAACACAGTGCAGTTCTACAATGAAATAAATCAAGTCAAAGTTTATTTATATAGTGCTTTTTACAACAGGCATTGTCACAAAGCAGCTTTACAGAAAAATCTGGGTCCAAGCCCCCATGAGCGTCACCAGTGGCAACAGTGGCAAGGAAAAACTCCCTAAGAGCAAAGAGGAAGAAACACTGAGAAGAACCAAGACTCAAAAGGGGAACCCATCCTCCTCTGGTCGACAGCGGACAGCAAACAGCATCAGTATAAAATATTAGAATATAAAACGGGAAAAAGCAGCGGTTAATTAGATAGTCTGAGTTTATGCAGCAGCATCAGCATCAGGAGGGTCAGTTCATGCAGGTGAGGTTTGCACAGCTTTGTACAGCGTGAAGCTCAATGGTGGTCAAAACGGTGCAGATCAGCCAACATTGTTTATATTGTGGTGGTCAGTTTATACTGTGGTGGTCAGTGTTTATTTGTGGTGGTCAGTGATAATATTGTGGTAGTCAGTGTTTTTATTGTGGTGGTCAGTGTTGATATCGTGTTGGAACATTGTTTATATTGCGGTGGTCAGTGTTGATATTGTGTTGGTCATTGCTTAGGTCGTGACGGTCAGTGATGTTATCGTGTTGGTCAGTGTTTATATTGTGTTGGTCAGTGTTGATATTGTGGTGGTCAGTGTTAATATTGTGGTGGTCAGTGTTGATGTTGTGTTGGTCAGTGTTTATATTGTGGTGGTCAGTGATGATATCGTGTTGGTCAGTGTTTATATTGTGGTGGTCAGTGATGATACTGTGGTAGTCAGTGTTTATATTGTGGTGGTCAGTGTTGATATCGTTCTGCACTTGAACATGTGTTATATTGTGGATGGTCAGTGTGATATTGTGTTGGTCATGCTTAAGTGTGAAGATCAGTGATGATATCGTGGTGTCAGTGTTTAATGTGATGGTCAGTGATGATATTGTGGTAGTCAGTGTTTATATTGTGGTGGTCAGTGTTGATATCGTGTTGGTCAGTGTTTAAATTGTGATGGTCAGTGATGATCTTGGGTCGTCAGTGTTGATATTGTGGTGGGTCAGTTGCTATCCGTGTTGGTCAGTGGATTGATATTGTGGTGGCAGTGTCATTGTGTTGGTCATTGTTTATCTTGTGGTGGTCAGTGTTTATATTGTGTTGGTCATATGTTTATATTGTGGTGCGTCATTGTTTATATCGTGTTGGTCATGTTTATATATTGTGGTGGTCATTGATTTAAATTGTGGCGATCAGTGATGATAGCGTGTATGTGTGGTCATTGCTAAGTTGTGAAGATCAGTGATGATATCGTGTGGTCAGTGGTTAAATTTGATGGGTCAGTGATGTATTGTGGTAGTCCAGTGTTATATTGTGGTGGTCAGTGTGGATATCGTGTTGGTCAGTGTTTAAATTGTGATGGTCAGTGATGATATTGTGGTAGTCAGTGTTTATATTGTGGTGGTCAGTGTTGATATCGTGTTGGTCAGTGTTTATATTGTGGTGGTCAGTGTTGATATCGTGTTGGTCAGTGTTTAAATTGTGATGGTCAGTGATGATATTGTGGTAGTCAGTGTTTATATTGTGGTGGTCATGTGTATCGTGTGGTCAGTGTTTATATTGTGGTGGTCAGTGTTTATATTGTGTTGGTCATTGTTTATATTGTGGTGGTCATTGTTTATATTGTGGGTCATTGTTTATATTGTGGTGGTCATTGTTTAAATTGTGGCGATCAGTGATGATATCGTGTTGGTCATTGTTTATATTGTGGTGGTCAGTGTTTAAATTGTGTCAGGCAACTACAAATAAATCAGTGTTTGTGAGACACTGTATAAGTCAAAGCACTGTTCTCCTAAGAAGTGCTTCATAAGTGCACAAGAGTGCTTAATAAATATTACATAACCAGTTAATCACATCACTATATCACTTCTCTGAGTTCCTATGTTCGTATTCCCATATCATTACTGAGTTCTTATATTTAATTGTATACATTTGTACATTTGTCTTATATTTAAGTGTATACATATATACATATTATAAACATTAAAAATGAACTAATAAGTCTTGTTTAATGGCTACTTAATGATTTAATTCTAATGATTTTTTTTTTCTCGTGTTGTGCTAATGACGTTTTTGTTTGGTTTTTTTTGTTTATTTTATTTTATTGTGAATGATAAAGTAACAGTAATTACAATCATATAAGGTGTTAATTAAGACTTTATTTGATGTATAAGTTGTAATATAAGCTTCAATGTATTACTATCATTAGTTAATGATTAACTGACACATAGTCTAGACTCCATTACTGTACAAGAACCACAAGAACAACTCACAGTTCTTAAAAATGGCTAAGCAGATATTAAAACACAGTAGAGTTAAATTAGGACTGGACATCCTAAAATTATATAATAGTGCTAGACAGTGAAATTTCCCTATGACCTGGAATAGAGATCTCATCACACCAGATGTTCACTGTAATAGTTTTACTGTAATACCTTTACAGTTCTGTGTGTTTGGTTAGTTTAGGTTTTATACAGTCTTTATTCTGTATCTAGACTTTCTCTCAGACACATATACTGAATACGCTCCTCTGCTGATGTGACCCTTTCAACACTGTCTCTGTTAACATGTTAAAACCTGTGTAAACATGTTTGTATAGTTTATTCAGTTTAAAGTTTTTAAGCTCACTTCACAGGATGTGAAAAATCACTGAGAGCTATTTAAGTTATTTACTTCATGTTTAAAGATACTTTAAAATGTTTTGGTACAGTTTTACAAACTGCACTGTTTAAAGTTCAGATCACTTTAATTTTTATAACTTTCTAATATTCATTTACTGTAAGATGTGTGAGTTTCGTTCTTGTAAATTTTCACACTACAAACATCAAATTCATGGTAAATATATATCAGCTCCAAATACCGGTTATCAGTCCCTGATTACTAATAATCTTGAAAAACCATATCAGTCAACCCCCTACGCAAGACACTACAACGAGCTTTACAATTCCACTCTCACTGATAACAGCCAGAGTCTGACCACCACACAGTGTATCTCAGCAACTGCATACACCCAGAAACAGACCCTCTCAGACCCCTCAAAGATAAACAGACCCCCTCAGACCCCTCAAAGATAAACAGACCCCTCAAAGTTAAAGAGACCCCTCAAAGATAAACAGACCCCTCAAAGACAAACAGACCCCCTCAGACCCCTCAATCACAGTCCAGTTCACCTTCTCACCAACACAACTCAAAATGATCCACAAAACCCACCAAAAACAATAAATCAATAACTGGATCAATGAAATTTCCTGAGTTAGTAAATTAGAATGTTACAGATTCCTGAGCAGAGAAACACACAGATTTAATCAGATTATCTGATTCAAATAAAATCCTAAAGAAACACTTTAAAATGTACAGACTCAGAGATCATAATGTAGAAAAAGGCTCCATAAGAAACACTGGAGGCCCAGAGAAGAATGACTCTGTAATCAGAGCAGCTCAGAACAGAAACACACACCACTTTCTCTCCTCACGCAGCAAAAATAAAGATCTCAGAGAAGATTATTACAGTTCAGTTTAAACTGAGATCCACCATTAGAAGAGGAAATGATTCAACCTGAAGATCTGATACTGATGTGTTTAGGAGAGACACCAGGATGTGTTACACTATCAGATAAATGTGTTTACAGCTGTTACACACGGAGAACAGACTGACACACAACCTTAATCACACATCAGTGTATTTAAGTGTGTCTGAGTATAGATGTGATTTTACACTGGACAAATGTAAAACTGAGAGAGAGACAGAGAGAGAGAGACAGAAACTGAGTGAGAGAGAGAAACAGGCAGAGAGAGAGAGAGAGAGGAGAGTGAGAACATTTGAATGCGTATATTAACATGTGTGTGTCTGTCTGTGTGTGTGTGTGTGTGTTTAGAGTGGAACATGGAGGTGAGAACAGAATCAAACCAGGACCAAAGAAATGTAAGTACACACACTCACACACACACACCCACACACACACTCACACACACACACACACGCACACACACACACACACACACATACTTGTTTTTGTGAAAATCGTCACATTAACCTACAATATTGGAACACACCTTTCTGAGAGATCTGGAGATGAAAACAGTTCTGTGTTACAGAAAGTTCATATATTAAGTTCATCAGTTGATATTTTATTATCTACCGTCTTTAAGAGGTCTGAACTTTCACAGTACAGTCAGGACATTTTCCAGTTTAAATATCAGGAGATGAAAACACACAGTTCTCCTGTTCGTACCACACTGTAAGGACACTCATGATTGCCTGGATCAAAAGATCAGCTGTGTCCCCTTTTCTGAATTCTGCTCACAGCCTCATACGAACCACACACTAGAAGACTTTAAACAGACTTTAAAAAGACTGCAGTAAAAAGACTTTTAAAAGACTGAAGTCTGACACTCACACCTAAAGACAATCACAGAGCTGTTAGTCACTGAGTATGATTTTACAAAGACTGGGGATCCTGCAGGGTCACTATCTGCAAGACTGCAACTAGAGTTTTGAGAGCATTTCCCATTATGCACCTGGTGGAAATACAGTGGCACAAATGGAAAGATACGTCGTTTGCTGGTCACGTCTGTGGATCAGCCCAGTTCACTGTAGAGGTTTTTAATTAACCTGTAAAATGTGCGGTTACTTATTTATTTAACATTAAGATTTACACATCAACACGATTCAGCACTGTTGACTGGGTGTTATGAACCAAACCATAAAAAACTAACAAAATAAGAAGCCGCTGTAACAGAGCAGAAAAATGGAAAAAACATTGATGCTTCTTTATTTTTGAATAATTTTGTTCCTTTTATGCTTCTAAAGTTTCCTTTGTACTACTTAAATGTTTAGCCTATTAGCACAAGCACTACAAAGGCTATCAGGTGACTCCATGGCCTGCACAGCATCAACTAAGGAGCCAAAATAACCAATCCTAAGAATGATCACCTGCTCAGTATACAGAAACGTCCATAATGTGCTGGAATACGCAGATCAGTGAGTTACAAGTATCAACCAAACTGTATTTATATATTTCTAAAACAACACGACATTCAGACGTTTAATCCAAGACCTTTGTGCACCATTTCTTTAGCTCCTGTAAGAGTTAATGCTGATGTTATGATGCTACAGCTGTAAAATCTTAAAATACTCTATAAATTCTATAAACTGTTGTGTGGCTAAACATTTCCATTCAACTTAATTATATCATATAAATATCACTTAATCTGTAACACTGAAGATTACATTCATGACTTAAAGCTCAAAAGCGCCTTTGACAGTAATTTGAGGATAAATACCTTTATTGACTATCATGAATCACAAACACAGGTGTGGTGAATCATCTGCACATATTTATTCCTTTGTATGGTCATTATTGACCAATCTTCCTAAATACCCATCCTGCTTTGCAGCATCAATTCTAGACACCATTGAAGCAAACAGAAAGAAAAAGAAGACAGAATCAGAGTTTTTCACGTTCAGTCTGGTGTCTATCTGTGTGTAAAGTGTTGTTCAGCTCCAGGTGAAAACAGCCAAAACTCACCATTCATCCTGGTTGGATGAGTGACTAGAGAACAGACATCCTTGCTGCTGATTGGTCAGCTGTGATGACATATGGTGCTCTTAAACATGCAGACTGATAATGTGAAGCTCATTGTTCAGACTAGAGAAATTTTCAGTCACAGTGCTTCACAGACAATGAAACGTGTGTTTGAGAGAGTTTAAAAGGCGTCTGACGCTCCTTTATACAGCAGAATAACATCTACACAGCTTTAGTATTGGAGCCACAAAGCTAATGTAGCTAACAGGTTCAATTAGCCTCGTAGCTCCAGTGCTAAAGATAAAGAAGCAAACTTCAGACACCAAACAGGTTTTGGCTCATGAGGCTTGTGAGGGTAAAACTGGATGAATTAGATTTTTAAGTGAACCATTCCTTTTGTTTCTAAACATTTTAAAGTAAAAACACACAAAGTTGATCCTGCAGAGTAAAACACTTTACGAATGTAAAAACAGGATGGTCAGTACTGACAGTCTCACAGTCCCAACTGTGTTTTGTAGTCACAGCATTTAGCAGCTTGTCTGTTTTTGTCACCCAACTGAAACCAAGACCACATTACTGCACTAAGTCAGACTGTATTCTGACTGTCTGACAGCTTAAATTATATTTTTTACTGGAGCTCCTGCCAGTGAAGACCCCTCCATGTCGTTTAACACATCATATAGACTCTAACTCCAATCATTCAGTCCTAATTTAACTGGAATATAGAGTCTGATGAATATGGAAATCATGCCACTGTTCACTGCCCTAACATTACTGAACCCCATTTGGACACATAAACCTTTATGAAGAAGAACTCTGTCTCCAGTTCCTCTGTTTAGTCTGTGGATGTTGTGATACGCTGCAGGGCATCATTTATCAGGGTGATTCTCCGCCGCATCATCAAACTGCATGAACATATTGTTGGTTATTGACATTTTTAGCCAGCAACAGTCAAATTAATAATTTCAGTGTTCCACACTTTAACATGTGTTTATTAAGGTAACGTTAGGCAGGATAACAGGAAACTGGGACATTATTTTTCCCAAAATCCAATAGTGTTTTTATTTAAATGTAAATAAGAAGCTGCAGAGTCATTTCAAAAGTAGTGTTGATGTTTGTGCTTTAAGGGCCAGTAAACCGTTCTGTTGAGATCTAAACATTTTTAAAGTCTCCTTAGGCTACAACCATATTGCCTGGCGTGACATTCACACATAGTCTCAACCTGGGAAGCACTGTACAGTTTCAGGTACTCCTGAAGAGAACAGCCCTGATCCAGCTCATTAACTGATTATGGAGCCCTTCATTAGCTGGATCAGGTGCTCTGGGGAGCAGGATTAAGAGACACAGCCTTCTACAAATGAACCTCTGCACTGTCATGTTTAGAGCATCAACTCCTTCCTGCTGTGTTGCTTGAATGTTTGCTGCTGTTACCGTTAGCCAGCTGCACTAGACTCAACAGCAGCAATGTATTTATTCACTTTATACCTGAACACGGAGACAAAGAATAGATAATCATTTACACCAGAGAAATACATAAAGAACGCAAGAACAATCAGCTGAATTTGGCTTCTCGTCCAGTTTTTCCGATCCAAAATGATAATGATCCTTAAATGATGCTCATTTGGACAGGCATCAGAATGTAACTGTGGTGTCGTTTAAGGTGGAACGGAAAAGTTTGAAGGAGAAGCTGGTGAATAAGAACCCAACTTCAGCTTCATGTTTGCACTATTACATGTTCACAGACTGCACCAGAATATAAACTAGTGATATATTATTGAGCCAACTACTATTTGTAGATCAATAATTTTATAAAGAGTCCAACAAAGTAATGTAAACTAGCTGGCATTGTCGCTAAGGGTATTAGCATTTATGCTAACTGCTACAGGTGTTTATTGCTCATATATTGACTTTGGCCCAATCAGAAATACACAGTTACACTTATATATTAAAACCACTGGCTGAATACAAACGATGGTAACCAGAAACGTTAGACTAACTAAATGAACTGTATAAAAATCGCTGGCTAGCTATTTTAATTAGCTGGTGTTAACGACCTGTTTTAGTGACTAATTCAACATTACTGGTCTGTTACAGCAATATATATTTGGGCAAATCACAAATATACATTATTATAGTTCAAATGGTTTAATTAGATTAATTTAAGTAAGATTATTCCTGCTGTTCTCTGCTGCTCCAGGTCAGTCTTATCTGAGCTTTTGGGGTGAAGGGTCTGGAAAATAGAGCAGTGTAGCTCGCAGATCACTGGTGTGCAGTTAGAACCAGTCAGAAGTTCCAGTGCATTAACAGGTAGTTTATGAGGGGAGAAAACAGGGATAAAAAACAGAGGCATTATAGAGAATGTATGCTGTGGAAAATGAATCAGGCATCACAAAAAATAAATAAATAAATAAAAAGCTTTTGTACACATATCATTGTACGCAATGCAATTTCTGCATTAATTAAAATATACGCCTCATTAAGAGCTCATGTTTAATTTAATAACTATAAAGCGGGCTGTTATCATCTGTGTGTGAACTCCAAATTGGCTGTATCCCAATATGAATAAGCCCCTGAGTGAATCCGTCAGCAGGTAATCTACAGTGTGTGTGGCTGGTTTCTATGGTGCATCAACATGGATCATTTTAGCTGACAGACACTGTACTGTACGTTTAGCTCTAACATGATTCCCACTATGGATTGACTTAGATATTAGATTTATTTATTATTGATTATTGATAATTTCATTTATTTTTATCTAGTCAGTGCTGCTGATGGAATTGAATTAATTGCAGTGGTGCAATGTCTGCATAGTCTCATATATATACTTGATTTCTTCTGTTTTTGCTAATTTGTCTCATTTAAATGTTTCAGATAATCCAACTAGTTTTAATAAAGATAAAGACAACACAAGTAAACACAAAATGCAGCTGTCATGTTCAAATGGGAGCTCCTCAGCCTGTAGGTTGGAGTTTGGATCATCCTGTCAGTCAATATTTATGCCATTTTTCTCCTATGAGTGCTGAAGACTTACTCAGATGAGGGGCTGGTGGGACATTTACACTTATATAATTGCGATATTGACTTCTGTGGGAAAGAGGCTCTTTTCCACACCCCCCACCAAACTGTCATCAATAGATGATGGCTTTGGGGTGAATTTAGGAGATACTGCACGTAATCTCACAGGCCAGTCTTAACCCATTTCCACATTACTATCAATGCCAGTTTCCACCTCAGAATCTCAACACTCATCACACAAATCTATTAATGTAATGTCAAGACATGTTTCTTTCAATGTGCTCGAAGCCTTAAGCCAGTTAAGCACGGGCAACAGGCTACTGGTCAATTCAAACACAGTAAAATCCACCTTCTGCATCACCAGAACTCCAGTTTTCAGTTG